TATAGAGTGTTTGCACGTGACGTCACAGCTTTATCATCCGCCATTGTGGGGGAGTAAAGAACCAACATGGCGGATGCTGATGCCCAACAGACGTCTCAACGCGCTTCAGAAGAAAACATTATTCATGATATTCCTTTGTCTAATTATGCGAAATCACCTGCAAGTATTGTAAAGAAGCGTTATATTGATAAGATTTCGTGTGTTCGTGTTGATCCTCTTTTGATTCCGGACGAAAAGTTAAGTAGGGAATGCCTTCGTACTGTTGAAGCTGTTGAAGCTGTTGATCTCGTGTTGCATTTGGTTTCACAAACTAGTTTTTATACGACAGAACAATTTAAGAACTTTAAAGCTTGCAAACCTACAACCAAATGGTTTACGGTTTCATAACCAGCATTTTGGGGCAGATTTTCGCTTAAATTTTTCGCCTAGCGGCAAATTCTTCCATTTCAGTTGTTTATCCTACAAGCGTCGTCCAAACAATTACAAATTGTCCTGGTTATGTAATGAGTGTAAATTGCAAAGTGTTGTTGCTATGAAAAGCTCAAAACTATCCAAGGAGTCTTCCTCTCCCATCTCCAACACTTCTGATGATTCTGACATTATAAATTTGGGTGAAACTTACCATGTTGATGTTGAGAAATATGGGATAATTGCTGAACTATCTGCACATGACTTTGATGTGATTGAATCACCTAATGGGTGGCTTGAAAATAGTATTATACAGTATGCCCAATCACTTTTGAAAACAGTCAATCCAGCTATACAAGGATTTCAGCATACAAGTCTTGGAATATATTTAAATTTGAAAAAGTTGATGGGGATTTTGTTCAGATATTGCACACTGGGGGCAATCATTGGGTATGTGAAAGCTCAATTGGATGTGAAAAAGGATTTGTGAATTTGTATGACAGTCTTTTTCATGATGTTATTTTTAATGATCTGGAACAGCAAGTTCAGAACTTAATTGGTGAAGATTTCAAAGATATATCTGTTGTACCTGTGCAACAACAATCAAATGATTCTGACTGTGGTGTTTTTGCAATGGCTCAGTGCAACAGCACTTTCTTACAATCTGGACAAGGATATCCCAAACTTTGATGTAAATCAAATGAGATCTCATCTATTAACATGCTTAAAGAGTGGACTGATTACTCCCTTTCCTGAGGTTAAACAGTTGGTTATGTGACATTTTATTGCTTCATGAAGCATGAAGCAGTTCTTGCCTGAGAGCAAGGCATTCAAAGTCCACACTGTTTATCACCGAGTATTTATAAGTGTTATCAACAATGTAAAGAATGAATGCATGGCATCAACATGGAAAATGGGTTAAAACCCAAATGTTTGTGAATAAACTTATGAAAAAAATGCAAATGAAAAAAAATCATAATAATATTTCATCAATAGTTAATAAGTACAATCCATTCAATGTTGAATGCCCCATCAGTCAAATGGGATGGTAGGTGGGCAAAGATTGACAAGAGCTGAGCAAACTCTTAACATCCTGTCAATGAGAGGTACAGATTCACCAGATCTACAGGCAAGATAATCTGTTGGCAAAGTTTGTTGAAGGATGGTGTACTTCTGTCTCAATGTCCCAATAATTCTCTCAACGTGGATTCTCAGTGTAGCAATCTGTCTTGTCTTCTCTACATCAACAGGATCGAGTTGATCCTTTCCCTTTGTAAATGCTGGAATATTCAGGTCAGCATGACGGAACCAAATACTTTCATGCACAGTAAAACCTCTGTCAGCAAGGACCATATCACCTGGCAAAAGTTTCTCAAGAATTCCACACTTCTCAGTCAAAAACTTGTCTGATGTTCTTCCTCCCCAAGCCTCACTCACAAAACAAATTGTCCCTTGTGGTGTAACTCCAATTAAAACTTTGACAGTGTTGTGGTGTTTATAATTTGAAAAGGTCTGAGCTCTTGCAAGAAGGTTGGATGGCCGATCGATGAAAATTTCAAAACAATCAATAATAACTGTAGTTTTACGACCGAACGCATCCAAAAAACATCTAGGCATGGTCTTGTACAACTCATCACGACTAGGCCATTTAATAATTGGAGTTAATCGAATATCCATTACAGTTATCCAAGTAACTAAAATACGAGAGACAGAAGACGTCGAGATCTTTAGACGATATGCAAGATCAAGGTGTGGGACAGAAAGTCTTAGCTTCACTAACACCATACAAAACTCTTGAAACTTAGTTAGAACTCCACGTCGTCTATCAACATGTGATGCAACAAAGAAGAAGACTGTTTGCAGAATTTCAAAGGATGGCAAACCAGTGTAAAACTTAACTTTGTCATCATCTCCAGAAAAAAAAGCTTCGTCAAAATCAGAAGATGGCAAGTTCTGATGTATGGGCTCAGGCGAGAGCACAGTGTTACAGCTCAACTCTGTTTGGGTTACAGCATGCCTCAAGTTGTCGGGTAAGTTCTCAGAAATGTCCTCAATATCTGCCATTTCCACGTCGAATGATATGTTTTGAACACTATGGCCAGCTTCGTTGTGCTTTAATCGCTTTTTGGCAAGACTTATCTGAGAATTTTCAGAGTCTTTCTCGACCATGCGCTTTGTACGTTCTGTGGCTCGTCTGACTCTTTCCTGACTTTGCTGAACTGATGCTTCGCTAACCTTTAGTTTCTCGTGTCCAAGCTTAAGCGATGGTACCCAATCGACGTTCCACTTATCCCACAGAGGAGCAGCTATTCCAGAATGAAAATGTTCGCCGCAAACACGATCATTTTCAAGAATTTTGTCCGTAAGGTCGTCACGGCTTATGGCGGTCAGCCACCTTCGCCTACGTTCCGTTGACAAAATCTCCGTTTCTTCGCCTTGCCTCGTTACGATTTTGGGCACTCGACAAAAGGAAAGATCTTTTCGCTTAGACGTGTCGTGGGAACAGTTTAAAACCAAGCAAAATTTCGGCATAATGCAATAAATTGAGAAAAACGTTGGAAGATATAGTAGTAAACTGTGTTACTGCACGCCTCTTTACTCCCCCATAATGGCGGACAGTACAATTTTGTGACGTAGCTGTGACGTAGGTGCAAACACTCTATAGACTTACCCGCTCATCAAAAACCCGTGGAATCTAGGAGAACCTCATGGCTTTAATTTGGGTTTAGAGATCCGAAGATTCAGGCCACCGTTCTTCAGCGAGTTACTGACTGAGAGTCTAATCACTTTATCTGGACCTTTCTACAAAAAGTTCTTTATCATCTTGCACACCTGTTTAATGATTTCTTGTGGGGTTTCCAACAGTGTGGAAACATATAACAGCTTTGGTCTAAGAAACGATTTTATGGTGATCACTTTGCCAAACAAGGACAAACTCCTTAAAACCCATAGGTTGATCGTTTTTTGAATGTCACCTAATCTTCAATGAAAATTTTGTTTTATCACCTCCCCTTGATCGCACGAGAAGTGAGTTCTTAGCGTTTTAACTCCAGTGCACCACTCAAGACCCAGAGGTTTCTGTCATGAATTCTTATTTGTCAGGCAGACATTAATGATAATTCCCTTCCCATCCGTACGAGAAGAAATGGTTTCACTATCCAGGGAGTCTTCTCTAACGCTGGCATTGGTACCAAAATGGAAGCAAACTTGTTCGGAGAGTCCGAACCGTTAATTACGGTTAAAATGAAGATGTATCACGAGTGATTGTGCCTATAAATACCTTGTATATAATGCATATCTTGATAAAAAGCCGTTTCAAATCACCCCCGAAAGCAATATTTCCTACCTAACTATAGAAGTTGAAGAGAATGCTTACCTGACCTGCGATCCAGTTTGGCTTAGTTTGAGACTGGTTTAATGCAGTGATTACCTGCCTTTTCAACTCGTCTAGCGTTAACAACCCTTTCGACGGAATATCAAGGACCTGCATGATTTTAACCATTTCAAGTAGATCATCGATTTCGTCGATACTTTTCGTTGGGCTATAAGACATGATGTCGATTTTTCACTTTCTAGAAACTCTAGGACCAAATCAAAGCAGCTGAAAGGACTTGAAGACCTTCCGTTGAACGTAGGCAGCAGCTCATAAACGGATGCCTGTTAGTAATCACTTATGCATGAGCTGCAGGGTAACGCCAAGTGTAAACAAAGCGTGACGTTGTATATCTGAGAAAATGTAACTTATTCAGTGGCGGGTATATCTTTTATTTGTTGATTTGTTTATTCATCTCTTTATTTCTTTCTGTATGCTGAAGATGTTTGATTCGTCCCAGAGCCAAAAATTAGAAGATTTGGAGATTTCATTTCCAGACTTAAATTGATTAGAACTCTTGCGCTCTAGCTAGTTACCAAATAAGTGGCAACGAATTAAAATTAAAGAAATCGATTCAGTAAAACAAATCTTGCCCAAAACCTTAGCAAGAACATTTTTAGATAAAGTCACAAATGCTACAATCTTGAATTTTTCTCGGACTTTTTCATTCCTTGAATGTAAACGAGGTCACTCCTGTTTACATTGTGGTCTAACACAAGACGAGACGCTGGCAATTCCGGGAAATCTAAAAGCGTGACTTAGAATTGTAACTTTGTAGGGGACGGAAGAGTCAGTTTTGTTAATAATAATAATAATAATAATAATAATAATAATAATAATAACGAATTTTTATACAGGATTGAAAACCCATCAGTGTGTAACACTGTTGTCCTTGGGGTCCTGTCAAAATAATAAATAAATAAATAAAATAAAACTTAACAAGATATAATCATTGATCTTAAGGTCTAGAAAAGCATACAATAAAATAAAATGCTCTGAAAAAGGATACCTATAACCACGTTTAGATCGAATTTTTAACTAAAATAATCTCGCAATTTGTTCTTAAATTTCAGTCTCGAATCTAACGACCTTAGTTCAGCAGGCAGGTTGTTGAAAGTCTTTGCTCCTTGGTAATAGAAGCTCTTTTTACCAAATTCTAAACGTACTTTGGGTAATTTCACTGATATACCGTTATTCCTAGTGGCCTTAGAATGAACCAGTCTTTCGAAGTAGTTCTTAAAGGGTGTGCAAACATTATTCAGGAGACAGTCGAAAACAAACAAACAGCTTTTACGCTTGATCAAATTGTTCACGGATGGGGGATTAAAAGAACTATTGCCAATAACTTTAAAGCCTCGTCGTTCGATGTTCTTTATCATTTCCTTTCGGTAATCCGGAAAGCTAAGACCAAGTGTTCCGCAATAGGTAAAAATAGGTGCGATCATAGTGTTATAGATCGATTCTGCACACTTTTGGTCGATCAAAGGACGAATTGATCGCAAGAGATTAATTCTGGTTGCAGCTTTTTTATAGATTCGGTCAAAATGTGATGCAAGGTTTAGTGATGAGTCAAGGTGAACACCTAAGTACTTATAGGTAGAGGTGTTATTGATGAGTGTCCCATTAACAGAAAGTTTAAGTTCCTTGTCTTGAAGGTTGATTCTTTTAGCTGTTCCAAATAACATAGACTCCGTCTTGTCCTTTTTTAGGTTAATGATCAGTTCGTTGTCTTTAAACCACTCGCACAGGTTATTCATATCCTCGCTAAGGCTTCTCTGTATAGTATCAATATCTTTAGAAGAGGTATAGATGACTGAATCGTCGGCATAAGTGATAATCTTCGAGTGTTGAAGCGGTTTATGTACATCGTTGAAAAAGATAATGAATAAGATAGGACCCAGGATACTTCCCTGAGGAACACCTGTGAGAATGGGTTGAGGTTCTGATAGCACGCCTTTATATTGGACAACTTGTGATCTGCAGAAAAGGTAATCAGTGAACCATGCGAGTTCTGTTCCACGAACTCCGTAAGTTGAAAGCTTGCTCAGGAGGCCAGAGTGACTGATGGTGTCAAACGCCTTTGATAGATCGATGAAAACACAGCCTGTCAGGTTACCATTCTCACCTTCTCTTCTGATAACATCGGTTAGATGAGTAACGGCCAGTTCAGTAGATTACAGTCCATTACATAGCTGTCCAACCATACATCGTGAATTGATGTAACTGTTCGGTTTCCAAATGAGTTTAGGGGTTGGTACCCCGGCTCTTCCTTTTGGCCTTCGGCACTAAAAAGACTGGGAATTAGTAATGCTATTCATGCTGCAAGTTATGCGGAGACAAAATATATCGCGACGTATCTTACGAACAGAACCAGACACTAACTTCACCATGCATGCAATCAAGGTGTAAACGCAGATTTTGAATTGAAAGCCCAATCACTTCAAGTTGGACACAGCATTTTAGTGCGGTAATAAGTAGCTGTAAGTGAATTACGTACTCATTTCCGTCGAATCAGCGTAGAATCAGTCGTATTTTCGTAAATCATTTGTGAATGAGAAGGCAGAGACCGTACGCCGCATAATTCATTTTCTCGTGCCAAAAAGTCCGGATGCACAAAACATTCCGAGTATCCCTCAATTACGTGCGAGAAGTGAAAACAATTAGTTCCGGTAAATGTGCATCTCTACAGATGGCAAAATAAACTGACAGGCCACTGAAGATTTCGCGTGTAGACAAAGAGACCATTCTCAGGATAAACAACACAATTGGGAATACAGTTTATCCCTTACCGACACGCTAATGACATTCACAAAGCACGCCTACTAAGAAGCAAACCACATACAATTCGAGGGCTTGATAGCGAAGGACACCCGCGAAGGTGGGAAGTAACCTTACCTCCAACCTCTCGCTGACTCAAAAAAATCTTCGCTTTCCTTCAGGTCATTCTCAAGTCTTCTTGATCCATTTTACCCTCGATAACTCGAACCGGGCACGTTGAATTACGTCTGTCAATACGTATCAAATAAAAAGAAAAACATTGTAGCGCAATCCAAAACATTTGATGTATTGTGTTGCAGCCATGTTATTCTAGTCCTTGAATGCATTACACAAAACGTGTCAGTGTAGTTCAGTTTTTGTTGATTTCAAATGTACACTAAAAGAAAAGAAAAACAGTAAACACCGGTTACGCTCCTTCCGCCGTTGTTGAAAATGTGTTTTAAACTATGAAATTATACCTATGTCGATATTTTGATGGATTTCTAGGTGAAAAGGTGGCCTTTGTTTTCAAGAACGTTGTAACAAATGGAAACAAGACGAATTTGTGTCAGTTTAAATTTTAGCCACGCAACATTTTCCAATTTATCTAAGCGACCTGTTAAGACTAAGTGGTTGCTTGTTGGATTAAAATTTTGCATTATTGGCACATGGTAACTGCAGAGACCTACCCCATGCACCAATGCTCATCTAAGCCTGTAGCTTTTAGTAGCCACAAACATATTTTTTTCCATATTTATTTATTCAGAGTTTCATGGTTCGCATCTGATAGACTAACTGATACGGCCAACAAAACACTCTAACGGCTGTAGTTATAAATTGAATTATAATCTTCATGCACAAGGTTTTCTTCTTTTTTTTACGAAACTTGACTTTTTGTCCCGCAGTTACGCAACTAGCAACTGGTGCACTTGTTTTGTCTTGGGAATTCTAAAAACGATTTTCTAATTCAGTGGTCTTCTTGCGCGATTAGAAACTAATCATGAGACATTTAAGATCGTCACTTTAAGATTGATAAAGTACAGTGTACTGCATGTGCATTTTTCGTTTTGATTTTTAAATGTTTTATTCCTGTGAAAAATCAATTTCAAGAAAAAACCCGGTATTTCTTATTGAGAAATTTCCGTCTCTTACGCTAACCAGGAATGCGATAATGTTACAACACCTCATTATCCAATTTCCGTTCTGCTATCTGTCAAGTGGTTGCTTACGGGAGGTTAAAAGCAAAAGAAAATTTCAAACTTGTAGCTCTAAAAGTGGTCGCTGTCGCTTACAAGAGGTTCCAAATATAGTGGTTTGACTTAGAAACTTTTGGTTTTTTCGAAAAACTGGTCGCAGAGTAACAGGAGAGGTGGTCGCCTAGGAGAGGTGGTTGCAACCATAGGTTCGACTGCGTATTGATTAATCATTTACGATTTTAAGTTTGTTAAGCTCTAGCAAACGTGATGGCATGATGAAAAAGGCAAGTGCCAATAATACATAAACGCATAAACGAAAAGAGCGGGAGGATTCCAAGATACACATAAGCAAATTAACCGCGAGAGAAATTACGCAATGGTTATGACAGTGGCAGTTATGACAGTGGCATTAATAGAAAAAAAAAAAGCCTCTGCTACGCTAAAAATGTTTTCCTCCTGAGCTGCATTCAGCCTCGTAGGGAGTCTAACTTTTGGTCGAGCCATCGAGGGTGTTATCGAGGGCCGAGGGTCTTATTATTATTATTATTATTATTATTATTATTATTATTATTATTATTATTATTATTATTACTATTATTATCATTATTATTATTATTATTATTCAGCAGTTTAAACCTTTTGTATGTTATATCCAGTAAGAATAGTATGACGGGGGCGCATGAGCGTAGCCCGTTAACTATAGTGAAATCAAAATCTAGATACTATAAAAAAAAAAAAAAAAAGAAAAAAAGAAACCCTCGAGAAATAATAAAATAGGTATTTCGGGTATCCAAATCTAAAATGGTCGTTATAAAATTTTTAAAAACCTATTACTTATTTTGGCTATGAAAGAGTTAATCAGTGACGATCACTTCCTAAGTTTCTAATAATCCACAGAATTTATGAAGGCAAAGAGTTAGATAGAAAGCGATGTTCATAGTTCATGTTACAACTTTAAATGTCCGAGAGATATTTAGTGTTCCCGGAATCACAGCCTTCTGCATATTTTAAAGAACTCCCTTACTCTTGTTTCCGACCAACTCCTTTATTTCGGCTTCTAAGTCACGACACCATCCCCCTAATGCGTCCGTTATAATATTCTATTGTTTCACTTCATATCCTTGGTACTTCCACTTTAATTCCCAACGAAGCGGTCCGTATTTCGAGGTTTTTTCCTCATTCTTTTTCCCCCTATTTGTAATCCATGGGCAGCTCATCTCCAGCGTGATGACTCGCCTTGATTCATGGTCGATAATACGTGCATCTATTCTGTTGGCTCTAACTTCTTGGTGCTCCGCAAATAAAGAAACGTCCCTGAAT